CGCTTGGGGCGGGAGCAGGCTTGCTGGCTAGGGTCCGGGGGGCGGGGGGACCGGGGCCAAACTGGAACGAGATGCTGCTCGCCCCTCCCACGGGGGGGGCCCAGAGCTGCAAAGGCAGAATTAGCCGGAGCAGCCCCAGCCCAAGTCGGGAACCTTCCCCTGGTCCCTGAGCTCCCCGGGGCTGTGTGGACAGACGGCGTTTGGGCCAGGGAACACACACAGGTGCCCAGGAGCCGGGCCCCCCTGGACCGGGGGAGGCGGGGAGTCGGCAGGGCCGTCCTCTGGCTTGATTGGCATTTTCAACCTCTTCCTGGTTTTGAAAACCAGGGGGAAGAAATCCTGGCAGAACTGAGGCAGCTGCCCCAGCGAGGCGTCTCCGTGAGAGTCGCCGTCAGCAGCCCTTCCGCGGAGCAGCCCTGGGACGACCTGCAAGCGCTGGAGGAGAGCGGTGAGACCCGAGGGCCTCCCGACCTGGGGCCCTCTGGCTTGATTGGCATTTTCAACCTCTTCCTGGTTTTGAAAACCAGGGGGAAGAAATCCTGGCAGAACTGAGGCAGCTGCCCCAGCGAGGCGTCTCCGTGAGAGTCGCCGTCAGCAGCCCTTCCGCGGAGCAGCCCTGGGACGACCTGCAAGCGCTGGAGGAGAGCGGTGAGACCCGAGGGCCTCCCGACCTGGGGCCCCCGGACGGGGCCCGACTTTCAGCAAGAGCAGAGCATCTGCCCTCTAAGTCTCAGGCCCCCACGAGGTGGGACGGGTTGGGGACCCAGCATTCACTAGACAGTCTTGGCTGCCCTGCACCCCGCAGTGGCTCCATCAGCGTAAGGACCCGGGGGTCTAGTGGTTGCAGCTGGCCGAGGTCTGCCGGGCAGGACGTGGAGGAATCACAAGGCTGGGGCCGAGCCAGGTCAGACAGACACAGCACCGGGAGTCAGGGACCGGAGATCAAGGGACCAGACAAAGTCTGGCATTGGAGCAGACCGAGGCCCATGTGGTTGTCCACACAAGTTCCTGGGCTGTGTCCTGGCTTTAAGTAGGGGCAGGTGGCCAATCAGGATGCGTGGCCAATCACTGAGGGTCTCGTGGGCGGTACTTCCTGCTGCCCCTCCTCGCATGGGGCTCCCTGGCCACGCCTCCTGCTGGCACTGGGCTTCCATCAGCTGCTCCGGGCTCTGGCTCTAGTCCCTGGGCCACGGC